CTTCTTCTACAGTCACCTCCAATACCGCGCTAAGTACACTGGCTATTTAACCAAACACGATAAAAGTTGGTATTATGCACAGAACTTTGAAAAGGTACAAGATAGTCTCTCAACCTTCTACCAGTGATACCCAGGCAAGCCCGGCACAGGTGACAATCACGCTCAACCGAGGTAAAGGGGAGGGAGACACTCCCATAGTGTTATAAGCACACAAGGACAGGGACGATAGCCCCTACCACATTACACCAACAAGCACCAAAAACTTGTTCATGGGGCCGACCGATGAAGAACTCAAGGAAAGGGAAATACAAGTGCAGTATAATGTCACGTCATGGACGGTATGCTACAATGACGGATGTCAAATACACTTTGGTGACAAAGAGGACTTAGGATAGTTCCCGAGAGAATACTGAAAGCTCAGTCCACGCTCAGGCCATGCCCTAAAGTACTGGGAACAGTGCTTCAAAAATGAATACACAATATAAAGGACAAAGGAAATCTCTGTGGGAGACTACCCGCAGAAGGATAGAAGCAAGAAAGAGTAGAAAGCAGAAGACATGAAAAAGGCTTGTGCTATGAGGATATGTTTCAAGAATGGAAAGGCCCAAAGCTCCTTGGTGGATACGAAACGGGATGTCAGGAGCCCGCATAGCCAGATCTGAGGACTCCGGAAACAACTTAGTTAGGCCAAGGCCACAATTTCAGTAAACAAAAATACAATAGCAGAGCTAAGTCAGCTGAACAACAAGCAGTGATACACCATCGAAATGGCAAACTTTACCTTGGCATCAGTGAGGAAAAGATGGCAGACAGCAGACGATAAGTTCGCTAGGCTTCAGATATCCATGCGAGCAGCTGGACGAGAACCAGTCAAACTTGGGGAAAAGGCCTAATGGGAATCAGGCTTAGGGGGAGCGGAACTAATGTCACGAAGGTGGCTTGGCGAGGAAAAGGTTTTCGCATGATGCATTGTTATGAGTTATAGGTAAGTTATTATTTTGCATGTATTACTCATTCAAGTAATGTGAGTTGTTATGTTAGGATTTGTTATGTTTCGCACATGAATCGAGTATGAGTCATGGGATGTGCACCAGGTGAGTGTGCCTTGCAAGTGTGCCTTGGGGCTATACCTTGCGCATATGATTTATATTTAGCACATGACCTTGTTATGAGGTCATCGGTTTTGAGCATATGACCAGTTTGGTCACATAATTTATTTGTTATGATTTGGTTTCGCACATGTGATCACTTTGGGTCCCATGACTGGGGGCGGGAACAACGCTATATAAGGAGGCTCGTATGACTGAGGAGAATAGGTTCTTCATGTATTTTTCTATGTACTTTTCCTATTGCTTACTTAAATGAATATAAAACATCTTTACGCTCTTTATCATTATCACGAGTTTTACACCAAGAGAACTCCTCACAAAGAGGAGTTAGAGAAAGCTTACGATAGACGCTCCTAATAGAAGACAAAGATCATGTACTATTAATAACGTAGGTTGAGGTTTAGCACTATTGTAAGATGAAACAAAGAAGAAGAAGAGAAGTATTGTTCCTCATGGCTAAGAACTAACCACACTAAGGGGGATTGTTACAGAATTATTCCCGCAACTCCAATGCATTTTTGAGCCCTTTTGTAACACTCCATGAAGTCCATTGGCTTTTGTACTAGTGTTTTTCAGAGTTCTAAACTCTTCTAGTTATCACAGGGTGGGTGCAAATGTACGGGCCTCTTGTAAAGATCCTTTAATATTCAATACTATCTCATTGTACAAAAATATCCAGTTACTTATGGTACTTGCAGATGTTGTTACTACTTTGAAACCTAGTAACTCTTTGAGTAGTTGACAGATTCTCTCTGTTCTACTTCCCAAACTTAGCCGAAGATTCCCTCCTATACAGTCCGCAAATAAGATATGGTTGGATGGGCAGCAGTGACGTATACAGTGTTATTCTTACACCTTATACTTTGTGGCCTTATAGTCACTAGATTCAACTGCAATAAGTATGTATGATGATATGCAGGTCCCATCAGGTGGCTGGAGAGGGTGTTGGAGACCAGTGATTCCAATTCTAAGTGGGGTTACCCTACTTAAAGTGGTTCCTAGTTATTGGATCCCAGTATTTCTAACATAAAGTAAGATGTAGGGTATTTGAAATATATTCATTTTAAAAATTGAAGTAATATTGGGCCTATAGTAATGGGTACTGGTACTTGTTTAAGGTTTTGTTTTATGTTTTGTTTCGAGTATTGCTTTGATGCTTAAGTTGTTTTAACAAAGTGTATCGCTTGATATTTTTGATTAGTTTAGTTCATACTAAGACATGCACAGATTTGTCTATTGAATGACTGCCTGATTCCATGATACAAAGGGCAGACTTTGACAGCCAGTATTTCAATATACTTGGCTGAATAGTTACTTGGTTATATTAG